TGCAGGACACCTCCCTTCCTTTAGAGTTTGCCAGCTCCACAGCCTGCAGGTTCCTGAATGTGTCCTATCTGCTTCTCCTTCCCTGTCCCCAGCCCCATCCAACCCCTGGCTCAGGCACCCCTCTGGGCCAGCCTCTACACGGAAGTGTGAGGGGCTCTTGCCAAATATCAAATCCAATCTGTCCCTTCTTTACTTAGAACCCTCCATGACTCCCTAATGTCCCCTAGAACAGTCAAAGGCCCCCACCCTGTGGTCCCTGCCACTCTAGGATGTAAGCATGGCTGTTAGAGATTTGAGGGTTGAACATGTGTTTCTCCCAATCTCCAGATGGCCATATGGGTCATTATCGGACACCGGAGAGGCTTTCAAAAGGCTACCAAAACCACAGGACTTATAAATACAAGTTAGAAAAAAGAAACAGGATAGCCACCAGTGCCATCTTGTGGAGAGACCCAGCACTACCAAGACATCAACCTGCCCCTCATCAAAAACAGTGGGAAGAGACCTTGGTCCAGCCTGCATACCTCACCACCCTCCCAGTTCCTTTTCAACTTTACTTCCAGAAATATCCAAATTATCTGTGTGCCACTGCACCCCCAGCAGTTTGTCATTCCCCAACATTTAGGCTCTTCCCTCTGAATGGCACACCCTACCTTCATCCTCCTCATCCTGAATGACAACTCAGATATCACCTCTTCCAAGTCTAAGTCACCAGAAGCACCAAGACCCTCGAACTGGACATAACACAAATCCAAGCAGCTACTGCAGCAGCAGCGGCTCTTAAATCACATGTCAGCTTCTAACCTTGTCCTGCGGTTCCTTAAATCTTTGTAACTGTTCATGAGGAAGGCATCACTGTTACCACCACCCTGGGTTACAGGTGAGGATGAGGCCCAGAGGTGCCGGTGCCCACCCTGGATCACCTAGCAGGTAAGCACAGCACCGCAACCTTATAGCATCTGTGTCCAGGTTTGACCACACCCTCCAGCCAGACTCCCCTCCGAGACTGGGCCTGAGCTGCCCGGAGTTGCACTGGAGCCCACTTTGCTTCAATTCTCTCTGTACCCAAACCTGTCTCTGCTCACCCTTACCAGCACACTCTGTTTTTCTTCATTGATTCATTCACTCATAGGCCCCAACCTTGGTGACTCCCTTCAGTCAGCTCCAGGAAGGGATCCTCCAGATGGCGTGGGGCTCTGCTGTCCACCTCTCGGCAAGGGCCCAGGGCCTTCTGAGCCACTGGGAGCCTGGCTGCACTCTGGGCCATAGCAGAATGGTTGGGGGTCTGAGTGGCTAACTGTGCTGAGACCCAAGGAGGCCAGTGACCCACACTGATCATTTCAGATGACACTCAGTGCTTTCTGCATTTAAATACTCACACCACCCTGTGAGGTGTGCATGAGTACCAACTCCATTTTACAGATGATGACACTGAGGACCAGAGAGTTAGGTACACTGCTTGCTCAGGGCCTCATAGCCAGCAAGCACTGTTACCTAGGACCAGATGCAGCTAGCCTAGTTCTAGGAGGAAGAGAGGGAGTCAGCCCATCTGGAGAGGGCAGGAAGGAAAAGCCTCATTTCCTCAGCCCCTCCAGCTGGTTCCCCAGCATGGAAGAGGTTAAGAGGTATCCAGGCTGTGGGAAGCCCTGGCTAGGGGCTGCCAAGAGCCCTTGAGTGCCAGCCACTCAGCAGTGGCTTCTTTCCATCACCCTGGAGTGGTTTCTCTGCTCTCTCTCCTCTCTTCATCCTTCCTGCTGAGTCCAAAGTCCTCCTTCTGCTCTTTTGCCCAGAATGCCAGGAGGTGGGACGAATGTCAGGAATTGGTGGGGGTCTTGAATCCCTGGGTTTCCAAGTCAGCCGGCCTCTGTCACAACAGCTCTGGTTTGTGGCATGCATCTGACGTGCCAAGCCCCCTGCTGTTGTCCCTGATCCCTAAAACCTCATGTAGGTAGATAGCCTTAGTATCTATGCTTGACCCAGAGGGGAATTGAAGCCCAGAAAAATGATGTCACTTGCACAAGATCATACAAAAAAGTGGCAGAAGCAGATTCAAATGCAGGCCAAAAGGTTCAACTCCTGAGTCGGTGTCCTTAACCGTGACAGACAGTCTCCTCACCGTAGCCCCAAGGGGAGGACAGGTCTAGGGTCGGCTGAAGAATTGCTGGGGGGTGAGGAGAAACTGAGGCAGGGAACCAGGAAGGTCATGTAGGGTAGCAGGGAGGCTGAGGGTGGCACAGCCTCCCAGAAAATTTGGTTAATGGTTAATCAGGTGGAGAAGGCTTCGGAGGGGGTGGGGATGGGTCCAGGAGGAGTGCCAGAGAGAGGGGCTCCATGGGGGCAGAGGGCTGGGGAGAGAGCGCAGAGGGAGGGGCGTCAAGCAGAGCCAAAGTCGGGGCTCAGGGAAAGGGGGACTCACCCTCCTTCTCTGCCATGTCACGGCCTCTTGTTAATGATTCCCCGGCTGACCTCTGGGGCCGGGGCAGGACCTGTGGGGAGATAAACGGGGAGGCAGGGCCTGGGGGAGCCCAGCCCAGCGCCAGGGCCCCCAGTCCCCGGCGCCCATCCAGGGAGGCTGGAGGACCTGGGCCCTGGCCAGAGCACGCTGTGATCACGGACACAGATTAGGCTGGGTTCAAGGATGGGGTCAGTGTCTGACCAGTGGCCAGGGGGACACCTGGATTTGCAGGGCTGGGGGCTCCCGTGTCTGAGCCTCGAAAGGAGGGGATTGAAGGTCTAAACTCCAACGTCGAGCATCAAGTAGGGCCTGAAATCCTGGGTCTTGGAGAAAGAGGGCTTTGGGGGCCAGGACTCCATAGTGTGAGTTTGTAGGGGCCTGGACTCCTGGGTCTGCGGGAGGAGGAGTCTGGGGCCCAATCTCTGAATCTGAAGAAGAGGGGGCTGCTCCAAGGACTTTCGAAAGAAGTCAGAGAACCCACTCTTGGGGTCACTCTTGGGAGGTAAGCATTCGGCTGGGTGGGAGTGAGGTTACCCCAGTCCTGGGAAGTGGAACTGAGGGCCCTGGTCCTTACCCTGGGGTCCGGCAGCTGGGGGCGAAGCTGAGAGATGGTGCCAGTTGAGGGTCAGTCTCCAGGCCTGGGCAGGAGCATGATGGCCCCGCAGTAGCGGCGCGGCCGGGAGGCAGAGGCAGCGGCGTGGGGCCTGCTAGGCCTGGCTGCCTCACCTGAGGAGGAGGGGGCTGGGTAGGAGGCGGGGAAAGGGGTGGGGAGGGGCGGGCAAAGGGATTGGCAGCGCCAGAGGCCACCTGGCTGGTGGGGCAAGGTTTGCTGGGGCTGGACCAGGCCAGCCCAGCCACCTGCCTCCCTCCAGCCTGAGGGGTGGGCCCAGGTGTGCCAATCTGAGGGGAGGTGGGAGCAGGGACAGGCTTGGCCTGAGGGTAGAAGTTTGGGGTGACAGAGCAGGCTGGGGGTGCTTACAAGGACTAAAGGATGGGGATATGAACCAGAGGGAGTCAGACAGAGTGCCCCAACTGCCCTGCTACTTCTTCTGCCTCCTGCCTAGCCTCTGCCCAGTAGGCCTAACTCCATCCCTGTTCACCCCTGCCCCTTCCAGTACCCTCTGTCCAGGTCCTGAACAAGGCAGTCCCTGTCCCTACCCCAGTTCCAGGCTCTGCCCCAGACTTCTTCCCCAGCCCCAATTCTTGCTCTAGTCTCTGCCCCTTCCCAAATCCCCAGCCCAGCCCCTGTCTGCTTTGCTCTGCTCACCCTACCCGTTCCCCCCCACCACACACACCCAACACACAACCTCCTCCCCCCAGCTGCTTTCCTACAAGTCACGGGGGCTGGTTTGCTTTGGCAGCCTCTCTGCCGCCTGCAGCAATGACCTCTGGATCCGGTGAAGTCCTAGATATGGGGGAAGGGGGCTTGGCCCAGAAAAGGCAGCACTGAATGCGGAGGCCCAAGCCAAGTGGGCGGAAGTGTCCAGAGGCAGATACACATAGCCCCACCAGCGTTCAAGAGTGATCCATGTCACACCCCAGGGCCAAATAAACACCCAGAAACCCAGGGACGGCATCGGACACCTGGCTGTAGACAGCTACACGAACACAGACCCCTGCTGCTCACCCCAGCTAGGCTGTCCCCGCATAACCAGACCCACCTGTTCACCTCATTCAGCACCACAGCCTCCCACAGCAGTCGCTCTGGTATAGACTTGGTGCCACTCAGCCCCTAGTCTCTCTTGCCCTCTCTTCAACTCCCACCACTCCAGAGAGACCCATGCTGCTGAGGAATGAGTGAAGAAATAAAATGGAGTCTCTCTGTAGTCAGGCTGCTAAATTTCTAAAATCAAGTAGGTTGAGGTATGAGGAAACTATTCTTGCTTTAACTAGACTGAGAACTTGAACTTCTGAGCTGTGTGGCAATGCCTGGAGATATAGATAAATCCTACAGATAACCCTCTGGAGAACTTAGGAAAGAAGGTCCGTGTATCCAAGACCCCTGATATCTGGAAGATCACGATTTCAGACCTGTTCAGAAGCCAGGAGTGCAGAACTGATTTTTTCCCCTCAACATTATACTTTTTACTATAAAAACTGTCAATTTTTCTCTTTTCTTGAGAACACTCTGGACCCAAGACCCTTGAATAAAACTTTGCCATTTTTAATTTTAACAAAGCCTCCTGATTCATTTATAATCCGCAGTTTGGTCAACACTGCTGGCCTGGAACACAAAGAACCCACACCACTGCTGCCTTGCCTCTTCTCTCCAGAGAAGCAGCACCCCTCCCGCACTGCCTCCCTGGCTCCCTCCCGGCCTCCCTCCCAGACTCCCTCCCGCTCATGGTCCCTGCTGAGTTAATGACACTCCCAACCCCACATTAATCAAGCATTAAGTGGATGCACCTGCTGGGCCTTCCGGCTGATGCTGAGCCTGAGATGCCGCACCCACCTGCTCCTTCCCTGTCCTTATCCTTTAACATGTGTAGAGAGGCCCCCCTACCTGCCTGTGAGGGCAGGTCCCTGGGAAAACTGAGGCTCTTGGATTTGGGGGTGGGGTGTAGAGGGTAACTGGGCTCATGAGAGAGACTATGAATCAAGTTCAAGAATCTTTATTTCATGAACGAAACTACCTGTGTAAAGAGACGAGGCTGACTGGGCCCCTTTCTAAGTGGCCACAATCCAAGGCTGGTGAGAGAGGGTGGAGTTGGGCCGGGCAAGAGTGCATCACAGGAGAGGGACCCCAGGTCCAGCCAGAGGAAGCAGGAGCAGAAATGTCGGTGAGGGTTTAAGTGGGTCCCAAAACCCCCTGCCCTGAACTGTTCCGGCCTGTCACGACCCTGCTGGGCAGGGAGAAGCTGGGCCTTGTAGTGCGTGTCTGAGCGGCCAAAGTGTGCAAATCAGCAAGAAGAAGGGGTGCGGAGCTGCTGCCCCCACCTCACCGCCCCCCCCAAACAGGCAGCAGAAGCAAGGGTGGGGGCAGTGGCAGTATTGCTTTACCCATCATGCATGGCGAGAGTGGGCGAGTGGGCAGGAGGAAGAAGGCTGGATTAGGGGTGTGAGCCAAGCCCCCTGCCCCCTCCCACCCTGGAGGCTCCGCTGGCAGGACTCTGAGGCTGTGGAGGCCCAGGAATGGCCAACCCCCATTAGGGGTAGGCTGTGCCCGGATGTTCCCAATTAGGGCTGGCTCTTCCTTGAGGCGAAGCCCAGGGCCTAAAGGTGAGGGAGAGACAGAATCAGGGACCTAATGAACTGACACCCTCCCAGGCCCACCAGCCCCCGCCCACCTATCCACCTTACCGGGGCTATTCAGCCACCTGGACACCCGTACAGTTCTCTTTACTTTCTGAGGTGATGGCCAGGTATTCCGAGCTGTGAGGACAAAGGCCGGGTTGACAGTGACCCCCTCATCAGTTTGGCCCACTGCCAGGAGACTGAGGAGGGTTGTGGTCCCTGCCCCAAGTACATGGGGCTCCAGAGTTAGAGAAAGGAGGGGACTATGGGCCAGACTCCTGGTGACCCACAAGAAAGGTGGACCGGGACCCCTGAGTCTGAGGTAGGAGTGGACTAAGGGCTCAGACTTCTGGGTCCTGGTAAAGAACGAGGCTGGGACCTGGACTCCTGTATCTCTGGGGGATGGGATGTTGGGCCTGAACCTTGGGTCCCAAGAGAAGTGGGGGCTGAGAGTCTGAGGTAGGAGGGGTCTGGGACCTGACCACGACCTTATCCGTCTCTGACAACAAATGCCCCCCTCCAAGAACGACTTGCAGATGGTGCCCTGGGTTGCTCCCCTGCCCCCTCCCCACTCAGCTCCTGCTCCCCTCTGGGACGTCCTGGGTGTCCTGGCTCACCTCATCCATCCTCACCAACCCCACTTACGCATTTTCTTGAGCAGCAGCCTCCGTGGCAGCAGCGATCTTCTTGTAACAATAAACCATCTCTGCCACAAGCCATATGGTCAACACCACGATGAGCACATACATCATGATCTCAGACACGATGGACGCCATGTCTCTGTTGGCTGCAAGGGCCAAGCAGGAGTAAGCGGCAGCTGAGGCCCGGCCCGGGAAGCATGACAGCCTGTGTTCCCTGGGCTTGTTGTGCCAGCGTGGGCAAGTGGCTCGGCCTCCCTGGGCCTGGTCTGCAAATGGGAATATGCTGCTTCCCTGGAGTCATCGCTGTTACTAATCACCAGCTGGGGATGGGCTTCAGGATCATCTCACCCTTCCTCTCTGTGTAACTTGAGGGTGCATCTGTGTCAGTCAGGTGGCTGTAGGTGCCTAAGAGCTATAGCTCTGCAACCAGAAGGCTCAGGTTCAAATCTTGGCTCTGCTACTTGCCAGATGTGTGACCTTAGGCAAATGACTCAGACTCTCTGGGTCTCAGTTTCACAATATCGCTTTCATGAGAGTGTTGTGAGAATTTAAAAAGCCTTAAAAATCCTTAGAAGAGGGCTTGACATATAGATGTCACTCAATAAATGTTTGCCATTATTGCCCTGGCTGGTGTGGCTCAATGGATTGAGTGTCAGCCTGCAACTGACTCGGTCAGGGCACATGCCTGAGTTGTGGGCCAGGTCCCCAGTTGGGGGTGTATGAGAGGCAACTGATCCGCATTTCTCTTGCACATCGTCGATGTTTTTCTCATTCCTTCTCCCTCCCTTCCCCCTCTCTAAGAACAAATAAAATCTTTTTAAAAATGTTTGCTATTATTAATATTATTATTACTGTTATTTCCGGGCAGAATAGCAAAGTAGTTAAGAGCATGGGATTTGGAGCATGACTGCCAGGCTTCAAATTCTGGCTCTGCGTTTTAATAGTTGCGTGACCTTAGGCAAGTGACTCTCCCTCCCTGGGCCTTGACTTCCTCTCTGTAAAGTGGGGATGATCGTACTCATGCCTCCTCACAGGGTTACTGGGAAGAGGAAACATCAGTTAACATCCCTCATGTGCTTGGATACACTCACAGGCAGCACCGCCCAAGTGTTGGTTACTGGCAGCTGTTTTCCAGAAACCCTCTATCTTTCCACAGCACTGGCTCTTGCCACAGTCAGCTTCCTTTCATTGAGCCTAAATTTAAACTGTAACAGGAGCACACTTAGCCAGGGGACCAGAGTTGAAGGCTACTGTGGCATGCTGGGCCAGATTTTGCAGGTGTCCCTTCTGGCTGGCCAGGATCTCATCCTCCCTGCTGTGCCCATGTGGTCTTCCTCCCTGTCAGTGCCTACTTTCTGCTGCTCACCTGTGCAGATGGTGCAGCAGCTTTCTGGGCCAGAGCGAGGGAGGGTGCATGGCTGCATGTTTCTCCCCTAGTTCCCCACAGGAGGAGCTGGGGACGCGGTTCCACACTTCATTCATTCACTCAAAAGATCTCATGAATGCATTTTATGCAGAGAATATGTGCTCTTGGCCAGACTCTGTACTTCATTCTTTATCTGAGCATCTCCATAAATGACTCTTCAGAACAACCCCAAAGACAGAGAGAGTCCTGGCTTCCCATGTTAGCTAACCTTAAGAGGAGCACTGATAATGATATAGGTTGGATATAGCTCACATCACTAGAATTCTCAACCCTGCTTCTGGAACTCAATTCCCAAATGGATTTAAGTCATGGGTTATCTCCTGCTCTCCCAATCTGATTAGGGCAGTGACCGGCACAGCTCTGTAGCCCATTTTCCAGATAAGGATGCTGAGGCCGAGAGGGGGAAAGGTGCTGAGTAAGGATGCACAGCCAGGACTGAACTCAGAGCCAGGACTCAACCCCAACTGCAACTGACTGCCAGGTCTGAGCTCCTATTGGCTCTGTAAAGCTTCCACAGCCAAGGAAAGACTTGGAATAGCTGCTGTACAGCGAGTGCAGTTTCCACCGACCCACACACATCTCAGGAGGGAGGACCATCGTTCCCCCATGTCACAGATGAGGAACTGAGGCACAGGGGTCACAGAAATGCCCAGAGGCCTCTGCTCTGGGGAGATCTCTTCGAAAACTCCAAATTTTCCAGGAGCTTCCCTGGCGTGCCCACACAGGCCAGACTTTTTGCCAGCTCAGACACTGCTGCACCTCAAGACATTCTTCACTCATACTGGGGACATCTGACAAAAGGCTGAAGAAATCAGAGCCACTGTGGTCAAGCTGCTAAATTACTAAAATCAAGTAAACTGAGGCAGAGGAAATGATTCCATTTTTGCTTTAACTAGCCTGGGAATGGAAACTTTTGAACTCTCCAATTATGACTGGAGATAGACTCCATATGTCCTATAGGCAATGCTCTGATTACCCCTTAAGGAGGACTTGGAAAAGAATGTTCACGTGTCCAGACCTACTCACGTCCACTATCCAGACCACTGGACACCTGGAAGATTATCATCTCAGGTTAATCCAGAGGCTTAGAATGCAGGGCGGATCTTTTTCAAGAACACGCTTTTTACTGTAACAACTCTTAGCTTTTCTTTCTTCTTCAGAACATTCTGGATATTGTATAGTTGTGTTTCCAGTTTGCAAATCCTAAGACTTTTAAGTGTATCTTGATCACTTATTTCTAGCCAAAGCCTCCTGATTCACTTCCACTTGGCTGACATATCCAAAATAGACTTAGCCCTCATGTCCTCATCTGCCAGCCCCACTCCTGCTGGGGGACTTCGGGGGACTGCAGATGTTTCCGACCATCTACCCCGGTGCAGCTCTGCCAGGCCGGTGAAGATCTCACAACCAACACCCACTGACCCTCCTTCAGAAGTGATTCAGTTCATTCCTCAGCAGTTGTTAATCACCAGGAGGCAATACAGGCTGATAGATAATGTTGAGACTGCAGTAAGAGAGTGAACTATAATAGAAAAGACTATGGCATGGCCAAGAATGATAATATACTAATATCATGGGTAGTGAAAGGAATACTATTGTGTGATGAGTAATACTAAAAACACTACAGTATGGGGAGTGATGAATATATTATAGTATAACAGATAAAATTTTAAAACATTACAATATGGTTGATATTTTAAAATATTATATAGCATGGTGGATAATGATGAAAATATGATAGTATGGTAGATAGTGTTAAAAATAGTATTATGAATAGTGCAGAGTATAGTATAGTATAGTGGGCAATGCTGAAAGGCAACACTATAATATGGTGGGTAATGCTGCAACCGCAGGCTCTGGAAAAACAACATAAAAAGCCCTACATTACGATAAACATTGTCAAGAACATAGGCCCTGGGAGGTAGTGCAATATGATAGATAACATTTAAAACAGAGGGACCTTACTGAGTCACAAGTGTGCATGAGCCCCAGCATCCACTATGAAGATGAGGGGGGCGGCCTGAGCCAGGCCACAACTGCAAGACGGAAAGAACCTGGGGGTCGATGGGCTCACTGAGCCTCCCCCATCCTGACCCCTCACCCCAGCGCTGATTTGAGAGACAGAATATACACAGACTTTAAGCCACAGTATTTGGGGGCACCTTTGTCACTGCCACTCCACTCTCCCCCAGCTCACGTGGGCGGGGTTCCGTCTCCTGTGCGGGTGGGTGGCTGCCCACCCAGCATCTGTGTTCGACACCAGAGTCTCTCAGACACATCTCCTGCATTGAATTTTGCTAGATCACTTTGATAATAAATGTAAAAATATTAATTATCAAAATAAACCCACAGGCTCTGGCTGCCAGCCGAAGACAGTGAATCACACCAAGTACAGAAACGGCAATCACACAGGCTTGGTTGGCTTCCAGTTCAGGTCCCAGCTCTGTGACCTTGGCCATGTGATCTTATCTCCCTGAGCCTGGGCTTCCCCATCTCAGAGCTCCAGCCCAGAGGGACTCTATGTAAGGCGCTGAGGCCTGTCTCAGAGAAAGGAAAGACCAGGATCATTGTCCATGATGTTGTGTATGTGCTGCGGGCCTCGAGGCATGTCTCTGCCATGGTTTTTTGGTGGTCCAACATCTGGGATCTCTGCCTAACTCTCTAAGCCAATATGGGTCATAGGGCCCTGAAAAATTCCAATTTACATCCATTGGAAGATGGTTCAGAGAAGGGGTCCAATACAGCTGAAACCAAAATAATGAAACAGTTCAAAAACATCTTACATCCTACTGCTCACTGTGGCCCCAGACTGGCAGTGCTGGCCTCTCTCAACAGATTTTCAGAGATGAACCCTGGGCCCACCCATATCTGCTGAGTCAAGACCCGCACATTAACTACACTCCTGGAGCGTCGTGTGCATGGTTGACTTGAAGCACTACTCTAGGTGACACACTCATATCTCTTCTCCCACTGTCACACTCTTGACAAACAGCCGCCACCACTGCCCCCACATACCAAGGCCTTGCTGCCAGGCATGCCAGCAGCTGACACTGAGCATATCACTCAATCCTCACAACCTCCCTGGAACACAGAAACAGTTCAGACAATACCCTGAAAGGTAGATACCACAACCCTCCTCTTTCCTACAGCAAAACCTTCGGCTCAGAGGCAGAAATGCACCTGCCAGAGGTCACACAGCACAGGCAGCAGAGGGTTCACACCCAGAGCTTCCACGGGAGAGGCCTGCTGTGACATCTCTGTGAGTTGAAGGGAAATGGAGGCCAAAGCTGGAGCTGGGGAAAGAGGTGCTGTTCCCCCTGCTGCCATGGTGGTTGGCTGGCCCAGAGGCTGAGCCAGCTCGTTCCCAACCTGCCACCTGTCCCTCCATCTGGCTGCCGGTGGGCAGCAGGGACAAGGGGACAGCAGGGCCTGACTCACCTTTGTCCACCACCTCCACGTGGATCTTTTTGACAATGGTAGTGTTGTGCTCATAGTTGTCGAAGAAGAGCAGGCGGTAGACGTGGCACTCATAGTCGCCTGAGTGGTTGTAGGTGACATTCGTGATGAAGATGGACATGTCCTGCAGGTCCTTGGTGCCCCGGCTGCCATTCCACACCACACGGCCCTCAAAGCGCTCATCGTCCTCCAGCTGCAGCATCTCGTTCTCATAGCGCAGGATCTGGGGGCAGCGATGGGGGCGTCACTGATGAGCCCGTGTCCCCCACCTAGATTTCTATTCTGTCCCTTGCCCTGACACACAGAGAGACAGATGGACACATACATGGGCTGACAGGGAGGGCACAGTGGAGCTCAGGTCATGCCTGGCCTGCCCCAGACCCTGACTGCGCCCCTAGTCCTGAGACTCACAGATATTCATACACGTTCCTCACCCGTTCCCCAGCCCCCATTCAGCTTTCCTGGCCCTGATTCTCTACAATTCTGCCTGGACCACCAGCACATACCTCATGCATGGACAGAGGCAGCCTGATGCAGCTGCTGTAGACCCCAATTCTCCAGTTGCCCTAAAAGTGTATGGTATCACCTCTGATGTAATTCAAAATACACATAATGTAAATGAGGTCCAAATAATTCTGCTTCTCCTCCCTGACGACCACCCAAAAAGCTTTTGCTGGTACTAAATAATTCTGATGACATTGTGCCCACCATAGGCCAGGTGCATCAATTCAATCAACCCTCACACAGACATATGAACTAGAGACCATGACCACCCTCCCTTTATAGAGGAGAAAACTGAGGCTCAGACAGGTTCAGTAACTTGCCCAAGGTCACCAGCTGGCTAGTGGTGGAGATGGAACTTGAATCCAGGTCATCAGTGATAGCACATTATTGAAAGCAAACAATCCCCTCTCCAAATCCTGCCCTCACTCAGACACCTACACCCACCTTCCCATCCCCAGGCTGTGTGCCCACACACCTTGACAAACTCCTCAGTGCCCTTCTGGCGGAAGGTCCACTCCGTGAAGGTCTCGGCAGTGGTCTCGCTGCGGCGCTTGCAGGAGATGCACAGAATTTTGAAGGTTTTCCCATACACGGCCTCTGTCTCGGAGTCCACCTCCACACAGCCCGCCCAGGCTGAGGACACTGCAGGGACAGTGGGGTCACCCATCACCCTAGGCCAAGCCAGACTTGCTGGTTGCTGGCCCTCAGGCCCCTCGGAAACCATCTGTTTCCCCTCAATAACAAATGGACAGACCTGGCCCCTGAGACCGGCCCTGTCACTCGCTGCATGCCCTCGGCAAGTCACCCATCTGCTCTGAGCCTCAATTTTCCTCTGCAGATAGTGAGGAAAGCAATTATCTTTGCTTCTGGAAGCTGCTGAGCAGATTCCATGTTAGGTAAGGTCCAGCAGTGGGCTGACAAAGAGAAGGCCCCAAGTCAGTAGGGCTGTGCTCAGTGACTCCGAGTCTGTGCTGCCCATGCCCATCCCTCTTCAGCACGCCACTTGCCCGAGATACCGCAGCATGGAGGTGGTGTGTATGGAATTCCAACTGCATCAGAAGTTAAAGGTGGCAGGCATTTCCACCATTACTGCTCTGCAAAGCCAGCCAGCCCCAGAGAAGGCTGGGAGAAGACAAGTCCTCAAAGACGGAGGTGGGCACTGGAACCAGGGCAGACCCACACTCCATCCTTGCTCCCCAATCCCTCAAGTTCCTGTGTCATCCACCCCCTCAGCAACTTCTCCTGACTCTGTCCTCAGGCTCCCGCCTCCTATTAGCTTCTCCAAACTCACCAAGCTCTTTCCTGCCTCAGAGGCTTTGCTCCTCCACTGGATTCTAGTGCCTTTGGGTCCCTCCTCCACATTCTTACTTGCCACCTCCCTCCTGCCCTCCGAAGCTCACTAGCTAATGCTGTGTCTCTCCAGCTCCAGCTCTGGGTCTTTTTTCTGTCCTCTACTAATCTAGGGGGTTTCTTGTCCTCCTCCTCTGCTGCCTCTTCCCATCTCTCTAACCCTGACTCCCCCTCTTTATCTCTCCCCTGGGGGTCTCTCCGAAGGTCCCACCATTCTGCGTTCTCTTTCCAGTCTCGGACACTATCGGCTCTCTCTCTCCATCTTTCCCTGTCCCCCTCTAAACTCCATTTCTCCCTCTGTCTACCAGTGTCTCCATCTCTTTCTGCCTCTCTTAATTTTCTTTCTCCACAGTTCAGATGAACTCTCCTTAACCCCTCTCTCTCTCTCTGACAAACTCTGCATCTCTCCCGTCTCTTTCTGCCCGTTCACTTCCATCTTCCCAGTCCCCCAGCGGAGCACTCCGGGGTACTCCGGATGCTTCTGCGTCTCTTGCTCCTTCCCTCTCCTGCCACCATCTCTCTCTGTCTCTCCATCTCTCTCTCAGTCTCCAGGAGTCGCCACCCCTCCCACTCCCTGGTCCAACCCGCCCCCCCCCCCCCCGCCCCACCGCGGCTGTGGGTGTCACATTGCAGCCTGCGGGGTTCCGGGAGCAGCTGACTCCGCGTTTCCTCGCCCCCGGCTGGACGCCCGAAGCCGCGAAGCTATGCCAGCAGGACTCCTGCCGGCTCTGGACCACCGGCACCTTCAACCCTCCCCCCAAGCCCCGCGCCCGGCGCGTACAACTTCTGAAGGGACTCAGGTCGGGGGATGAGCGGGAGCGGCCTTCACCCCACTCTCCGGGGTCCCGAGCGCGAACCCGCTACCCCGCTGTGCCCCTTGTCGCGCGCCCCCGCGCACTTACCCAGCGCCGTGCCGACCACGAAGGCCAGCAGTGTCCCCATGACTGCGCTGCGCGCTGCACCCCTCTCCCTGGCCGCAGGTATTAATAGCCGAGCGAGAGACGGCGGGACCCGGCGGCGGTTATAATGTCCCCGGGAGCGCGCGGGCGCAGCAGCTGCGGCTCTGGGACTACCGAGGGGGGAGGAGGGGGGGCGCGGCCCCCCCGCTCGGGTTACCGCCGGGGGCCCAGCCCCGGGGCCCGGCGTCCGGGCATCCCCGCCGCGGGGGCGGCGGCCGCTGCTCGGGCTGCTGCGCTGGCGCGCGCAGCCGGGCTCATCCACCAGGTGCCCCGACCCAGACCCCCTTAGGTTCGGGCGCTTCGGCGCTTGGGCGCAGGCCGTGCTCTCCTGCGCACTGCTGCGGCAGCGGCGGCGGCGGCGGCGGCCCGGGAGGGAGGAGGGAAAGGGAGGGGGCGGGATGAATCACCGCGGGGGGAGGGCGCGGCCGCCCAGCCTTTGCCGCAGCGGCCCCGGAGGCGCCGCTGCACCGGCCTCTCCGGATGGTGCAGGGACCACGGATTCCCGGCATGGGCGCAAGGCCTGAGTGTCCAGCCCCTCCAGAAGCTAGAAATCTCCAGGGTCAGAGTCTGAGAAAGGTCACCCCCAGAGTCACAAGGGGACAGAGAGGGCGGTTTGGGGGCAGGGCTTCAGACTTCACATTATGGAGATCATCCTCACGGGGTCTAGGGGGTCTTGAAGGGACCTCCAAGTAACCTCTCCCTGAGATCCCTGGCATCGGGGCGTGGAGGTCACTGTGTGAACCCAAGTGAGCATGCGGAGGAAGGGTCAGGGTAGGGCTACCTATGAAACTCCAGACCCCTGCGAAGCAGGATCCAAAGCGGAGACTGCCCTGGGAGTTTGGGTGCTATCTTTCAGGAGGATGCCCCTTCTTTGTCTTTAACATCATCTTCTATTCCTCTTTCCCCACCGCTCCTGAGCTGCTTGCCCAGATCTCTGCTTTCCCAACAGAGCAAGCTCATTTCTGCCCCAGGGCCTTTGCCTTTGCTCTTCCCTCTGCCTGGACCACTCTTCTCCCAAGTAACCAAAAGGCTCACTCCAGGTCCTCCTGCACCTCTCGGCTTCAAAGTCACCTTCGTCAGGTCTTCTGTCCATTCTGAGGAAACTGCTTCTCTGGTCTTTTCCTTGACCTCCTTTACTCCACCCCCCACCCCCAGCAGTTGTCACCAGACACTGTATTCTTTTTTTATGTCATTTTTCTGTTCACTGCCTGTTCCTCTAACCTTAGAATATAAACTCCCCCAGGGTGAGGACATTATTCCTGTGCACCAGTGTCTCCAGCACCGTGAACTGTGCCTGGGTAGGCGCTTGATGAATATTTGTCAAAGGAATAAATAAATGCCAATGCTGGAGCTCTTGTGATGTGCTGAATCCATTTCTACCTCTGTAAACGTGTGCAGCAAGTTATATTATTATCTCTATTTCACAGAGAGGAAACTGAGGCTGAGTCACTTCCTAATCTAGGGTCATGGCCCTGGCCTCAGGTGGATCTGAAATCCCAACTAGTGATGGCAGGTGGCCTGTCTTATCAGTAGGTTCTGCCAAATGGAGAGGATGAGGGTGGGGGCTTTGGGCTGTCAGACCCTGGTGGGAGCGAAACTTCTGGTTGGGGGTCACTGTTCAGGTCCTGGCCATCAGTTTTGGGTGGGGTGAGGCCAGAAACCACCTGGCCTAGCTTTGCTGGCCACGAGGAACCAGGATGTGGCATAGGCCTTGGGCAGAGGGGCAGGAAGCTAGAGACACTGGACACCTTTGTGGTCTGGGCCTCGGTGCCAGCACCGACTTCCTGGCTTGTGAAATTCCCCTACAGAAAATAACCTTCTTGCTGTTCTGAACCCTCTCTCTGGCTGGGTGGCGGGCAGAGGCACGGGGACAGGCCTCAGGCACTGATCGGGAGCACCTACTGACAGCCCCTCAAGCTGATGTTCCCTGAGAACCTGCTATGGGCTTGGTACCGCTCTAAGCACTTTACTAACATTAATTCATCTAATTCTTCCTACAGGTGGGTATGGGAAACTGAGGCTCAGAGTGGGTAACTTGCCATGACCACATAGCTAGAGGATAGGAGCAGTGAGCTCTGCTGTTTGCTACCTGGGGTACATCCCTTCTCCCATCCTCTGCCCCAAGCCATCAATTGCAAAGGCTCATACGGCCTCACTGACATGCTGAAGGTTTCTCTTTACCCCTCAATAGCTCTGGAACTAGCACAGGGTTTGAATGGGCAGATCTGGGTCCCACCTGGACTAGGGACTTCAGCTCTAAGCCTATCCCCTCATCAGTGAGACAGGGGCCCAGGTGGCCTCATGCGGATGGCCCATTGTAGAGTCCTGAAGGGGTTATGACCTTGCATCTACATGTGGAACTACCTGGTTCCAGGTCTCCCTGTTGAAGAATATCAGGCATTTATTTGTCTCCAACTCATAGAGCTAGTATGTGAATTAAATGAACATCAGACCATGGCATTTAGGCTGGTTTGTACTTGGTGCTCAGTATGTAAGAACTTTTCTCCCTTCAACTTTTCTGTGGTGAGTAACATTACGAATAGTCACCCTATTATAAGCTGCCACTTTTATTAACTTCTTGCATCCTCATAAAACAGTTCTCAAAATGGGATCACTGGACAAGCATCACCTGGGAACTTGCTGACAGGACAGGCTGTCAGCTCACCCTGGACCTGCTGAATCACTCTGCCAGTTGGTCTGGTGATCAGCCCTCCATGAGATTCTGATACGGCTTAAGTTTGGGAATGACTCACTTCTAACTACCCTGGAAGACTGGGGCTATTCTTATGTGTACTGAACAGAAGAGGAACTAAACCTGAGAGAGGCTGACCAGCTCCAGGCTACATGCCTAGGTATCAGAGGTAGAATTTGAACCCATGCCACCAGGCATTAGTCTGTCCTAGGAGCCCATGCAATGGACCCCGATGATGCGAAGCTTGTGGAAGGTGCTAGGGAATGCCAGGTCACGTCAGTGACTGTGGCCCCAGAAAATGGACAGATCCCCCTCCTTGCCTTGCTGGATCTGAGTGCAACAAGAGGCTTCCTCCCACTCCCCAGGCCTCACAGAGAAAGTCACAGCCATTTCCAACCCTTTATTGGGGCTCTGTCAGCCCAAATAAATACAATATATTAAACCCAGAGCTGAGGGAATCGTGCACACCATGAGGTGCCCTCCACAGCCCCAGCTGGACAAAATAAGTTAGCGGGGGGCCTGCCGAAGGCCAGGCCAGCTCCCTGGCTGGGCAGGCAATGGCAGCTGGACTAGCACACGCTGGTCTAAAGTGCATCTCGTTCTGTGGTCCCCGTGTCTTCATGGCCCCTGGCCAGGCCTCCGGGATGAGTAGGCAGGAGGTTCCCAGTGCTCACACTGTGCCAGCAGTGGTCACCTAGGTTCTGTGTCCATCTGTCCATTTGGGGGGATAGCTGTGTGGCCAGACGTCCTCAGGAGAAGCTATCATCGGGCTGTGGCTGGGAGTCAAAGGGAGGGTCTGAGACGGTGATGCCTTGATGCAGCTTCTCCAGTGAAAACTTCATCTGGGGGAAGAGGTGGACAGGGTGGGGAGTGAGCACTGCAGGGGCGATGTCACCCCTCATCCTGTAGTTGAGAAACTGGGGAAGGTTCAGAGAGGCCATGTCCCCTGCCAGGGTCACCATGTAACGTGAGCAGAGCCATACTGTACCCAGTTTAACTTCTCACAGACAGCAGATTGAAGGGACCCAGATGGACTGGGTTCAAGTCCAGGCTCTGCTACTTACTGAGAAACCTTGGGCAGGCCCCTTACCTGTCCCAGGTGCCTTAGCTGAAAGAAGGGTCAGTAATACCTGCTTCACTAGGTTATCTCAGGGATTTGATGGCACACAGAAGGTGCTCAATGCGTGTTATTCTTATTCCCTGCTGTGCAACCTTGGGAAAGTTTGAGCGCCTCATGCCTCAGCATCCCTACCTGTTATGTTCTGGGGACAAGAACATCCCCCTCATAGCCTGACCATGAGAAGCAAAGCAATTGGCCATTTCAGCAATTAGAACGGCCCAGCTCAATCAGTGTCTGCTGTTAGCACTCATTTGAGAAGTCAACTCTGTGCATGGCAATTTGAGAGGAAAATAATGAGAATTTAACTCAGGATGGGGAGGTCCTGCCCTCCCTTGCCCTGAGTGATAGGGTCCTAGCTTCAAAACCCCCTACCCTTTCCTTCACAGCCCTTCCTAGAGTGAGCGTCTCTGCCCAAGCATAATTTCAGGGCGCAATGCTGCCCCTCTGGTAAGCCTCAGCATTACAGCCCATAGGGATTTTCACTGTCACCCACCAACCTGGGCTCTGACACCCTTGGGTGGCCAGCCAATGCCAGGCAGTCCCCAGCTTCCCACGCTCGCTGCCCACATTAAGTACTTACCCCAGGTGTCTGAAATTTGTGCTGACCCACCACATTCATTGAGCACCTGCTGTTTGCCTGGCACTGGGCTTACACCACTAACAGCAAAAGCACATGAAGTGTTTGCTATGAGGTTGGCACTATTCCAGCATAAACTCATTTAATTCTCGTAACTGTCTTTGAAGTAATATCAATTACTATTCCATCTACAGAGGAGGAAGGCAAGGCCCCAAGTCACTTGCACAAGGTCATACACCAGAATTTGAACCTGGCTTTCTGAATAGATGCTGTCCTGAATTACAGGGGAGGTACAGGGTAACCCCTTCTAGAGGCGAGACCCAGATATCCTTTGGAAAACCTCCCCCCAACCTTTATGTCACCCCCTTAGTCACCCCAAAGTGGAGAGGGATGCAGGGACCAAGCCTTGCCTACCCGTGGCCTCTGTGACTGGTTCAGGGCTGGGCATGTGACCCCAGCAGCCAGCAAGAGTAAGTCCTTTCTTTTGGACGTCAGCCTAGAGCTGCAGATACCACCTTGGTCATCCTGGGGTAGAGGATGCCCAGAATTAAGCCAACCCTGGGGATGGGCAGAGTCAAAAGATGGCACCAGAGACCAATTCTTACTGCCATTGAGAGGCTGGACCCAGCCAGGCCTCAGGTCAGCTGCACCTGGACTTTTCTCCCAGGATGGGTGTCAATAAATTCATTCTGCTGATTTTTCTGGCAACCCTGAAGGTGGGGATTATGAATGGCTTCCTCATCTTACAGAGGAAGAAACTGAGGCCCAGAGGCATCTGCCACATCTTCCAGTTTGAGTGCAGGGTCCCACAGCCCCAGGGCCATACCTCATCCAGAAGCTCCACCGAGGCCCGCAGGATCTGCCTCCACTTGTGTACCTCAACGCTGTGGAACTGCTTCTGCAGGGCCAGGACC